TTTTTTTTTTGTTTTGTGCGCTATGCCCGTCTGTGGTGGGGTGCCGAAAGGTATACATCGCCAATATATAAATATTATATACACACGCACATATATATCTATATATAATATCTATATATCGATTACGGCTGGTTGACGTTCGCCACGATGTCGTCCACTCTCTCTACCGCGACCCAGCACAGCCTGATATTGTTTGTGAACAACGAGCGTTGCGATGGCCATGTATTGTATGTTCAGGATGATATTCCCACTAGTTCGCCTGTGGTTGTTCCTATCAATACATCCGTTGTCCGCCGAGGTGCGCGACGATACAATGGACTGTATGAACTAATGTTCACCGTGGAACTTGAGAGCGATAGCCTTACAGGCCGCGTGAGGGGACGGATAGTGGGAAGGGTGCTGCTGCCGTCTGGAGAATCACATTATCTTGGGCCACTGCTGCCACCTGGTAAATCAATAACTTCAGCCGTTTTCGTGGAGGAAGTTCCACACACCATAGAGATGCATTTTGCTCTCGATAACAATGTGCCTGTTGACACTGTAGCTGCGAAGCCGGCTGAACTGCTTCTTGTTGATCACGTTAATGCCATTCTTGACAATGATGAACTTTGTGGATCCCTGGCTTCTTCACATGTTCAAAACCTCGTGCGAGAACTGCCCTTTTATGACATGGGAAAGGCTCGGTTCCAGAATTGGTCTGACTTCGTCAACTTCTTTTCATCACAGTACGACTCATGGGAAGTGACACGGTACACAGAGGAACAACACCGGCTTATGGGTTTCAGCAATAGAATTCACCCTGGTGAGCTGCGCTTGGTATCCAAGAAATTTGTGGGGTCGTACATGAGGGCGGACAAGGTGAGAGATATCGTTCAAGAAGAGGCTTTGCTAGAGTTTCAGCAGTTGCTGCTCTCACTTACCGGCCCACACGACGGCTCTAGACACACACCGAGGTTGAACAATGAGGCATTCAAAATGTTGGGAGAATCACGGAGTTTTCGAACACTGAATTCTGTGAATTATGTTCGTATTCTTCGGCTTGTTGCTCTAGATCCTGAACGATACGTTCTGTTTGATCAATACCACCCCATACGCATTGATTGGCGACGCTCTGATGAGACTACCCCAGGAATCGCTTGCGTGGCTCCCTCATGAGCCAGTGAACGCGGATCTAGACTCTTACACACCTCCAGTGTTTGTCTGCCTTTTTTTTCTTGTTGTCTTATCATATAAGCATACTTTTTTAGGTGTATTGATATAAATATGTATACATCTACCGACCTATCTGTATCTCTTTCTGTCTTACTCGGATTGTCAGGCGCTCTCTATACATATACATCTATATATATATATGTGTGTGTATGCGTTTGTAGTGCGCGATATTATAGGGTATGGAGTAGGAAACAAAACAAAAACGTGCCCGTCGGCTTTTTTAAATTCTGTGTGTTTCCTCTCGCCGAATTATTTATTTATTAATGTATTAATATATTTATTAATATATTTATGAATTTGACATGTACTGTGCCGTACATCCTGATGCACATTGCTTCATTGGTGGAATGAGGAGGTAGTATGGCGTCCACGTTTACTTCAGGTGTGGCTCTCCTGTTGCTTAATTTGTTTTGCGTTTTCTTTTCCTCGTATCGTCTGCTGAAGGTATTACTGTAGAAAAGGTCACTACAGGTGTTTTGTGAGAATGCCCGGTAGAAGAGGCAAGCAGCGCGTGAAGCGAAAGAAGTCCAAGCGGCAGAAGCCGTCAGAGATGGAGCGCGTTTTGGTGGATAGCATTCATGGACGCCGGCGGAAGGAGCGCCAAATCCTAAAGAACCACATCCCGCCGCCAGTGAAGCTTCGCACTAATAAGGTGGCCCTTGCCACCACGCTTCCTATGTTTAACGCCATGCCCGTGAAGAATGATGAGACAGGAGCCACAGCTGCCGCTGCCGCTCCGGCTGATAAGCCAGCAAAGGCGAAGAAGGCTTCTTCTTGCCAAATGTGAGCGCGAATAACACTCCATGTGCGGAGCTATATTTCATTGGTAAATAGCTGGGTTAACGAACCGAGGAATTAAAATCACCACACACACACACACACAATTATACATGTATATATATATATACTTATATGAAGCATGGTCTCTTGGTTCTGCGCATTTTCTTTCCCTTTTTTTACTTCTCTCAAAAATTTTTTGCAGTACGGTGTACGGCGTTGTCGTTGATGGCAGATGTGGCGTTGGACATTGGAAGCCGTCTGACGAAGGTGTACTTGGGCGGTAACGCCACACGCAAATGTGTATTCGAAACCCCGCCCGCGGTCCAGAGGATGAAGGAGCGCTTTGACCACACATCTACCCGCGCGGAGTTGGACTCTTTCTTACACAGAGTAAGTTGCGCTGCATGTCTGTGGGGATCTCATGGGTGCGTTGAGGTATTGTCGAGCGCCGACGACTCCCCTTTGTTTACTCAATATGTGATGCGTTGGCTCTCCTCTGTCTCACTCGACAGACAGCCGATGCTTAGGGACGCCCACTCATGGCTCTTGGGAGCGCACGGATTAACGGATGGCTGTGTTGTGGACATTGGTTATGGAGCTACACGCATTGTTCCAATTCTTTGTGGCATTCCTGTAGTGGAGGCTATTACAATCGGCAGAGGGATGCGGGTGTTGCTTGCCCCTTCCCCGGAGGGCGTGGTGGCGTCGCTCGTCTCCACCTCGCCGCCATCGAGCCCACCGCAGTTGCAGATTCCTGCGGAGGAAGTGGCTCAATGGATCATTGCCCATGTGGAAGAGGCCATGCTGTTGTGCAACTCGCAAACGCAGCGTCCATTCGTGTGTGGTGTCTTTCTACTGTCGGGTGGCGGTATTGCGGTGAGGGAATTGCTGGAGGGACTTCAAAGTGCCATTCAGACGAGTCGGCCCTACGCACATGTTCTGGTCTTTGATGATTCTGTTCCGATGTTGTGTGCCTCTGTTTTCAGTCGTTGAGGGGCATCCTGCTCTTTCAATTTGGGCACCTGGCTCCCGCAGTACTTTCCTCTGTCTCCGTTAAGGATGTGTTTTTTTTTCCCTTCTTTATTCATGGTCATTCTGCCTTTGCTCTGCTCCTTTATACTGCTTGATTTGCTTTGCTTCGTTTCTGTTTCTGTTGTTGTTGTGCAGAAGCATGAACGGCGACGCGGTGCGTGATGAGAATGTGTCTGACAACATCGATACAGAGGATGCGAAGAAGGCTCGTCTCCACGATAGAATCCGCCAGCATGAGACAATGGAGAAGAAGCAGGGAGTGAAGATTGTGCTGCGGAAAGGGATCCCGACCCCAACCTCGGAGGAGCTCCAATCCATTAGCGAGCGGCGAGAGAAGCTGATTTCCATGATGAATCTGAAGCGGCGCATCGAGGACACTGCAAGGCGCAAAGAGGAATGGCGGGATTGCGTTTCATACGAGCCTCACAGTAGTGAGATGAGCAACATGACAGAAACCAAGGTAGAGACAACAAGCCTGGAGGGCCGCGCGGTTATTCTCTCACCGCTCCTTGCACTACTGCGAATGTTACTGTGTGATAATCGAGCTAAACGGCGGCTGCACCGACTTCGCTCGAGACAGACTATGCTTGCTCCTGAAACATGCCCCCTCCGCGTAGAACACCAAACGGTGACAGTGGCAACGAGTGTGGTGGAGGAGCACTTGGCAACCACATCTGCTTGCGGTAATCGATTCGCTTCTTTGCCGAACTTGTTTCTGATGACCGGTTCTTTCGATGTGAAACCTCTACGCAATCCATTTGTCTTCCTATCGAGACAGTACCAAATGGAGCGACTCCCTGAGTTCGCACTTAATTTGGCCAAGGCAGCCAGTGAGGAGTATGCAGCTTATAAAAAGAGCGACTACAAGGAACCTTCTGCGGTAACCCTTTCTGAGTTTGTACAGCCGCTTGTTACGCTGGAGACTTTTGATGTGCCTAAAAAGGCATACGATGCAGTTTTTGGGCAGAATCCTGTGCACGGATACGAGTTGTTCACTAATACTGCTCGACCCCCGCAAGTGGTTGCGAATACGGCTGAGAAACGGGACGAACCACACGCGAGAGCGGGTTCTGTGGCTGATGTGGGCTTGTCGCAGGAGTTATCCTACATTGGTCTCCCCTCCAAGTTGGGAGGCCCGATGCCCGAAGACTCCTTGAGCGAGAGTGACGGTGATGAAGCACCCCCAGGGTTTCAGGCAGATATATCGTGGCTGCCTGTATTTCCCACACAGAAGAATAGTGACGAGGGAGAGACGCATATGACACTGGATGCGGCACTGTAAACGACGCTTTGGATGGATGGAGGTTACCGATGTAGAGTGAAGCGGTGAATGTAGGCACTTGTTCACCGAGTTGTTGATTCTGTAAAATTTTCTTTCTTGGGCACACTCTGGTGCTATGCATTCCTCATATTTTCAAAAATTATATATATATAATTTTTTTTTTTGCTCTTCACAGTCTTTGTGTGACTCATGATAGCCAGGCGTTCTTTCTTGGGGGAGTGGAAGGCTGACGGTGCGGTATTGGCATGCGAAAGGTGTAGTGCCAAGTTTACTTTTAGTCGTCGACGCCACCACTGTAGGTACTGCGGTGGCATTTTCTGCGCCTCGTGCTCCAACATGTTCCTTCGCATACCGAACTTGCGGACTACGAAACCGCAGCGTATTTGTCTTACGTGTTGTGCTTCATTTTTTAAGCCAATATCAGAACCCGCTCCATCTGGTGAAGGCGGTGATGGCTACAGTAGACAGTCCGGCGATGCTCCTGGCTTTGGCCATGGATGCCTCACATCGTCTGCCAAGCATACAGCACCCTCCGACGACGACGACACTTCGGTTCTGCAGGCTAGTCAGACGGGCGATGACGTAGGGAATGAGGTGCTCTACGAGGGTGAGTACTGCGATAGTGAAACCGACAGTGATGATGTTTCTGCTGCTGTTGCTGGTGTCTACTCGTCCGTTGATGATGGACAATGTACCAATAGCATTTCCTTCATCGCGGCCTTGCAGGACAACCTAAGATATTCAGAAGACCCCGATGTCATTAGTGTCCTCATGTATGTTTCACCTTCAAGGTACCAGGTGATTTATATTACAGTGGATGACAACGAAACCATGTCAATGCTCGTGAGGCGCCTAGTAGACGATTATTTTCGACTAGAAAATGGCCCATTCAAGAGCCTGGGTGACACAGAGAGGGATGTCCTATTGAGTAATCTAAGGTTCTCAAGTGAATCAGTGGTGGTGGATGATGCGGCTAATGCTATTGATGTGACATCCCAGTACAAGCATCTGGTACTCTCCACTCTCCCTGCCAGAGAGCTGCAAAGGGTGCGCCGTGATAACTCCATTCGTGACTTCTTCCGCAGCGAACACAGCGCGGAGGATGGGGATGACATGAAATGGTAAGTGAGGCTTCGTTCTAGGTGCTTATGCCCTTTTCTTGCTCTTGTCTCCGTCTAATTGTTGAAGTGTGTGTTTCCCATGTCCCGATTCCCCGCTTTACGCGATTAATGTCGTGTGCAGGCGCGCAGAAAAGGGTTCATTACGGCTCTTTTTGTTTGTTTTGTGTGCCACTTTCTCCTTTTTCTTCTTGTGGTTCCCACTTGATGGGGGGCAGGTCTTATTGCGATTCTCCATGGGGCAGGAGGACGACTGCCCATGTCTTCTGTTGCACGCGTGTGTTGTTTATTATTACTATTGTTGTCGTTATCATTATTAGTTCTGCTGCTTGCTCCACCCTGCCGGCAAGGCGTTCGGCAAGGGCCACCTCGTCGCACGTCACAACAACCGTGCAGCCAAACACTTGGAACTTCACCCAGTGCGTTTCCCTCCCCCCCCCNCTCCAAAAAAAAAGATGGAGGTACAAATGGTCTTCTGTTTTTTCTTCTAAATTTCTGATTTTGTTTTGGCATTTTCATTTGGTTTTTACTTTCTGCCAAACAGAGGGCATATATGATGAACGTGTCCGAGTTTCTCAAGGAGTTCAAGAAGGCGCGCAAAGAATCTGCCGTTGCCACGGGTGCTGCTCCTGCTGCTGCCGAGGGCCGCGACGATGGCGCCTTTATTATTCCCGCTGCACCGAGGGAGGCGATGACGCGTCAGACAAAGCTTTCGCATGACCACTCGGCTGACAGTCAGCAGGGTGACGATGAAGGTGACGATGATGACGACAGCTATGCCGATGAACCTCCCCCATTTGCGCTGCTGGGCACCAAGCGACAGAGGTACGACACACTCTGGCAGCGCAAAGAGGTGAGGACTGGTTTGCGTGCAAATGATACAGAGGTAAGGACGTACAAAACCAACCTTGCGACGCCAGGAGACAGTAGCTTGGCCTTGGCGGCGCGGCGAAGAGCAGTAGGATTTTCTTCGTCACGTGTAATACCAAGGCGCATTGACGCTTCAGTGGTGAACGCGTTGCGCGACGAACTTTTGCGGAAGAAGAAATCCCTTAGCCACTCAGAGAAAATAGAAAGGCCTGAGGAATGCTCATCTTTGGATGCTCCTGCAGGGAGTTCGACAGGTGTGAGCGTAGAGGCGTTTCTTCTTGATGTGGACGATTTTCTTGCCACTGAGGACTTGTGCACCAAAACGACTCCTGCTGTTCACGAGGTGGGGAAAAGCGACCCGATTAATTCTCCGAAACACTCCGATCCCGAGCCGCACACAACAACAACACCAGCACGTATTACATCAGAATCACCGTGTTGCGCCAAGAAAGCAACGAATATTGCTTCAAAATCCACCAAAATGAGTATGTTTGCCAGAGCGAAGCTTTGCTCTGGCGGTTCTGGGTCGCTGAAAACTACAGAGGGAGAGGCACTCGAGACGAGAAAGTTTCCCAAGCAATAAATTGGAGGATCATGATGTGTGGAGCACCGGTTACTTGTCGTACGGAGACGAAGAAAATGGGTAACATGATTATTTCCATGCTTAATTGCGGATGTGGTGCTGTTATTAACCCCAATTTCTTTTCTTTCTTTTTTTTTTTTGTCTTCTTTTACCACTTGTTATTAATTCGCTGAGGTGTGGTAATATGTAGGTGAAGGAGTGCTTTGCATGGAGCGGTTTGATGTTGGGCCTGCTATAGGTGAAGGCCGGTTTGGTGTTGTTCGTGCAGCTGTTGTAAAAGGCTCTGGGATGCCTGTTGCAATTAAACTTCTTTCTCTGCCACGACTGGATGAGGGAATTCCACATCCTGTAGCTAGGGAGCTACTTATTTCCATGCGGCTGAGTCATCCTTTTGTTATACGCACATATGACGTGTTTCCCTGTGGATGCTCTATTGCGGTGGTAATGGAGCGGTGCAAGACAGATCTGGCAACAGCACTCGCCGCGAGAAGCCCAAGCAACCCGCTTCCCAATCATAGGGTGAAGTCCATTCTCAAGATGCTTCTCTCAGCCTTATCGTACATGCACAGGGAAGGGATTCTTCACCGCGATGTGAAGCCTTCAAATTGTTTTTTGACAGATGAGGGAGTGTTGCGTCTTGGTGATTTTGGCTTGAGCCGTGTGTGGGATGTGGAGACATCCATGACGCATGAGGTGGTGTCTAGGTGGTACCGGGCACCAGAGTTGTTGCTTGGTGAGCGACACTATGGTCCGGAGATTGACATGTGGTCGGCTGGATGTGTATTTGCAGAGTTACTGAGAGGCTATAGTGGTGCTTTTTTTGCGGGAGATGGAGATATTAGGCAGTTGTCTCTAATATTTGATATTCTGGGCACACCAACTCTAACTTCCTGGCCGACTGCAGTAATACTTCCTGATTGGGGAAAGGTGCAATTTGAGCCTAAGAAGCCGTGCTCACTATGCGATTTTTTTCCTGAAGCATCCAAAGCCGCTTTGGATTTGCTGCAGCGATTGCTCACCCTAGACCCCTCCAGACGCATTTCTGCAGAAGAGGCCCTTCGTCATGATTTCTTCAACGAGTATCCGACTTGAAAACTGGTGCTCTTTGAGCGGATAATGGTGTGAAATCCGAGATTGATTTCTCTTGTGTGCCCAGAAAGCGGCGTGTGCTGTGGTGGGAGTTGCAGTTCTTCCCGACACTCTCGTGAACTGTTGCATTTATATTTTTTTTGTTTTTCACTTATATATATTTGATCTCATTTTCAAGGTGTTGCGCAGCAGCGTCTGGATGTACCGTCGTTTGTTTCGTGGCTCTTTGCCATGCGTGACATTTGTTCGATGGACTGCCACGGACAGCTATATTAACCGCCATATTGGTCCAACAACGGCTGAGACAATGTCGATGCTTCGAACGGTTGGAAAAGAGAGTCTCTCTGATTTGATGACGGCTGCTATTCCAGGGGATATTGTACGCCCACCCTTGACGGAGGTGGCGGCTATGAGTGAGATGGATGCTCTCGCACTCGTGCGCTCTCTTGGTGCGCGAAACAAGGTACTAAAAAGCATGATTGGTCAGGGGTACTACGAGTCCATTACTCCTCCTGTCATACTTCGCAACGTCATTGAAAATCCTGGATGGTACACACCCTACACACCATACCAAGCTGAGATTGCACAAGGACGTCTGGAGTCCCTTTTGAATTTCCAAACCATGGTTATGGATTTGACAAAGATGGATGTGGCAAATGCATCTCTTCTTGACCAAGCGACAGCATCATCCGAGGCGATGCATCTTGCTTTTCAGCATGGTCAACGAAAGCGGAATACGTTCTTCGTATCAAAAACTGTTTTTCCATCCTGCATTGAGATGGTTAAGACAAGAGCCGAACCGCTCAAGATAAACGTCGTCGTGGGCGACACGAATCTGATTGACTGGACTGACAGTTCCTTGTTTGGTATCCTTGTACAAACACCAGATGCGATGGGCATGCTTCATGACTTCTCACCACTGTTCGAGAATGCAAAGAAGCACGGTGTCATTAGTTGCTGTGGGACCGACTTGATGGCTTGTGTTCTTGTCAAGCCACCTGGTGAAATGAATGCAGATGTGGTTGTGGGATCCTCCCAGCGTTTTGGTGTTCCACTAGGATATGGAGGTCCTCACGCCGCGTTCTTTGCTGTCAAGGAGCAGTTTAAGAGGTTGATGCCGGGACGTGTGATCGGCGTCAGTAAGGATTCTGCCGGAGAGCCATCCATACGCATGGCGCTGCAGACACGTGAACAACATATTAAGCGTGAGCGCGCCACATCAAATATCTGTACTGCACAAGCGTTATTGGCCAACGTGAGTGGGTTTTATGCCGCCTACCATGGTCCAGATGGTCTAAATGAGATTGCCAATGAGATACACGGCAAGGCGAAAGTGCTCGCTGTTGGTATGGAATCAGTAGGACACTCTGTGGTAAACAGTGCATTTTTCGACACTGTTACTGTGAACCTAAAAGGCATTACAGCGGAGGATTACAAGACACGATGTGTTGAGAAGGGTATTAATGTTTTTGTTGATTACAGTAATGGGACTGTCTCCATTTCTGTGGATGAGGCAACAACGGATGGACACATTGTGTCACTTTTGGAGGCTGCAGGGTTGAAGCTTCCCGTCGTCGCAGCCCTTTCCAAAATAGCCGATCAGAAATCGGTACTACCGTTGGATCTGGTGCGGAAGTCTGATTTCCTGAAACACTCAACGTTTCAAAAGTACAAGAGTGAAAGTGAACTGATGCGCTATATTCATCGTCTACAACGAAAGGATTACGGCCTTACGCATGGTTGCGTCCCGTTGGGATCTTGCACCATGAAGCTTAACCCTGCCGCTGCTATGTTACCACTCTCTTGGCCAGAATTCACCAATGTGCATCCCCTTGCCCCAGTGGACCAAGTGCGAGGGTACAGTGCGTTGTGTCTAGATCTTGAGCAAAAGTTAAGGGAAATTACCGGTCTGGATGCGGTATCGCTTCAGCCTAATAGTGGCGCCCAAGGTGAATACGCTGGGCTTCGTGTTATTCGTGCGTACCATCTATCAATGAAGGAAGGACACCGCAACGTCTGTTTGATTCCAGAGAGTGCGCATGGTACGAATCCAGCTTCGGCAACATTGGCAGGAATGAATATTGTCTTGGTGAAATGCTTGTCTAACGGCAGGGTTGATATCAATGACCTGGAGAAATCTTGCCAAAAACACGCAAAGGAGTTGTCGTGTATCATGATAACATATCCAAGTACGTATGGCTTGTTTGACAAGGATATTTTATCCATTACATCAATGGCGCACTACTACGGTGGACAATGCTACATTGATGGGGCAAATCTTAACGCCATGGTTGGCTATACAGGCCCTGGATATATCGGTGGCGACGTGTGCCACATTAATCTCCACAAGACGTTTTCAATTCCCCATGGTGGTGGCGGCCCCGGAATGGGCCCTATAGCTGTCCGTCAACATCTGGCCCCCTTTTTGCCAAATTCTGTTTTCAACCAAAAAGTTGGCGGTTCACAGCCATTCGGCCAAGTCTCACAATCAGCGTACGGATCAGCATCAATTCTTCCGATATCGTACATGTTGATGTTAATGCTTGGATCACACGGGCTCAAAACTTGTACAGAGTACGCCGTTTTGAATGCAAACTACTTGAAGAAGCGCCTAGAGAACCATTATACGATTCTTTTCCTGGGTGGAGAAAACTACTGCGCTCATGAGTTTATCGTTGATCTTCGACGGTTCAAGAAGACAGCTCATATTGAGGCGGAGGACGTGGCCAAACGGTTGATGGACTACGGAATTCACTCGCCAACACTGGCGTTTCCTGTACCCGGGACTTTAATGATTGAACCCACCGAATCAGAACCCAAGCGGGAGTTGGATCGCTTGGCAGATGCACTAATTTCCATTCGAGGTGAGATTGCCGCCATTGAAAAAGGTGAACAACCAGTGGATAACAATGTTTTGAAGAATGCACCACACACGGCAAGATGTGTCACCGATGATAAATGGGACAAACCATATGATCGGCGTTTGGCGGCATTCCCTTATCCTTACTCGTACGTTGAAAAGTACTGGCCGACTGTGGGTCGCATTGACGGGGTTTACGGAGATCGTCACCTCATGTGCAGTTGCGCCTCCCTCGACTTTTACAACTAGGAGTCATTTACTTTCTCCCTCCCTTTATATATACATATACATATATAAAGGGAGGGGGGGGAGGGAAAGAGAGAGAGAGAGAGAGTAAATGGAAGGGGAGCCTCCCTCATCGTAATGGGTTTTTATTTTTCACCGACAACGCATTGGGCAAGGGAAAAAAAGTGTTCATGATAGCTCGGTGTACGAAGACTATCGCATAGTGTGTCACTTAATGACTTTAATTGTATCGCGGCCTCCTTTGTTGTTGTTGGAATCTGTTTCATTTTGAATTATCACCCTGGGGCGTAGTCCTTCTCTCCAACCCTTGCTGGTACTCGCGTTTTTTTTTTGCTGGATTGCCATGAACTGTATAGTGTGGTGTAAGTTAGGAAGCGTCCTTAAGATCCAATGTGCCATTGAGCCATTATTATGAGCGCTGCTTGAAGTGTTTCTTCCGGCCGTGTATTCACCAATGCATTATATTTATCTTCATTGCTGCTCTGATCCGACGTTAGCGTGGCCCTGATGATACAATGAACCAACACCACGGTGACTTGGGTTTTTTCTTGGCGGCCGTGATGTTCTTCATGGCGAAGGGGAGCATGACTTCGGCTAGTCGGCATCGGGGAGCGCACTTTAAGGTGTTGTGCCGCCTCTGAGGATCTGCCAAGGAGGGCTATTTGGATAGGCCACGTGGACTGTAAAAGTATCAATTGGGCATTCTTTTTTTTTTTTTTTAAGGAGCTTCTGGAAAAGACGTCATTCGAAAAGTTGTCTATCTAATTTATTGGGAAAGGGGTTTATCCCATTACTATTGTGTCTAATGAGAAGCTTTCGAATATGCTCCATGATGTAAAAAGCCAGTAAATTCACCGCATCACCCCGCTCCATTATTCCCGCCACGGTGGCGGGGTCTCCAGAGGCGTGACACCCTGACGATGTCCTTTCGTGAGTGGAATATTGATTTGATAAAGGAGTGATTCTGAATTGGGAATACCCAATTGAGTGCTATTGATAGTTTATCGAAAACATGAAGATATCGTATGAGGTTGTCCGTTTCTGCTGATTTCTGTTCCTCCCCGGCTTTAGATAAATATAAGTTATATTGGCAACAACACCGGACAAATATTCTGCTTTAGTTTGTGTAGTCTGTGTTCGTATAACCTCTGTGCTAATTGCTGTCTTTTTTTTTTAGTGCAGCATTGTTGTTTTTGGTCATTCATGCGCCTGAAAGAGCGACAACTCCTTGTGTCGCTATAGGGGAAGACGAGGGATGCCATCATGAAATTAGTGGGTATCTATTATCAATTTGTTTGTTTGGTGGGGGCGCTCTACAGTATGACTTCTGTGGTGGATCTGCCTGGCCCTCTAAGGTAACATAACTAAGAGGGGAGACATTTCCACTTGGATATGTCTTTTCATATCTGTCAAACTGTGGGACACACACAGGGTGCCTTCTTCGCGAGAAACAAAAAAGAAATGGGCGCCTTCCCAGATGGTTGACATGGGACAGAAAACGCAGCGCTCTCAGCCCCTTTTGGCTGGTCCCTCAGTAATCAAAGGCACCGCTGAAGTAATCGTAAACTGACATCCGGGCAGTGAGGTGGAATTGCCAGAGTCTACGGTGTTTATTGCTTTGAGTGTCGGCATCTCAATTATGTCGGTAACCAATATATTGTCGGTGATAAACATAGAAAGATCCACGACGAAAGCCTCTATACTGACATCCTCATTGACTTCAATGGCACTCCATTCTTCACCCGAATAGTTTGAGCCTTGAAGCAGCATGATCTTGAGTACAGAAAGAGCAACGGCTCAAGGAAGATAAGGCATCCCTCTCTCTATAGTTTATGTTTTTTATTATCTGATTTTGGTTCAATAATGAAGGAAATGAGACAGAGGGAAGAAGAAATTATGATGAGGAGGGCTTTGGACAAACTCAATGAGACTGGTGTGTATTCTCTCCAGCAGTGGGACGTGTATGGTAAAAAGGAACAAGTTATCCCTTTGGTGGGAGGAATGTTAAATGTATCCCTCAGCGTTGCGAAGAATGAATCACCGTTGCTGAAAGGTGAAGTGATGATGGGGGTCTACGAGTCTGTATTTAATGCTACATGGAATCATGTGGTGGAGGTCCCTGGTGACAGTGAAGGGATCGGAATGAGGGTGAGGAAAGGCAAGCCGTCGAGGGAATGGACAGACGAAGAGGTGGAATATTTTCCTCCTGGCACCGTATATGAGAACGAAGAGGGCACCAGTGCAGAGGGGATGGCGGATCCGCAGGAACCACGTGCTGAGCTAATGGTGCTCAATTCTGAAAAAGGCTGGCCGTACACGTGGTTAATGGCAAAAACTATGTGCGACTGCCACATCGGCCGCGAGACGGAACGTGTTTGGCGCATCGTTAAGCGTGATGTGGACGAATGGTTTGCGTGTCGTGGCGGGAATGATGCGGGCCCGGGAAAGCGTCTTTTGGTTGGGACACCTGGTATAGGGAAATCAATGGGGACTGGCTCGTATCTCCTCTACCAACTGCTGCACTATGACGAGGAACTGCTTGCAGTGGTTGCATACGTCATTAAAGATTACGTGTTTATCTTTCACAAAGCCAGAGGTGAAGAACAAGGACGCGTGGAGTACTACAAAAACCTCGAAGGGGGAGTGGGTGCTGTGGTAGACCTCTCTCTTACTGTGAGGGGATACATAATCTACGATGTGGCAAAGCAAGGAAGTGAACCTCACCACGCTTTACCTCCAAAGGGATGGGGCATGATTGTTGTGACTTCCCCGAACGAGGACAACTTCATGGGATGGGAGAAGCAAAGAAGAGCACTGCGTATCATAATAGATTGCCCTGAGACGAGTGAACTGAATGCGAGGTGTGTGTGGATTAACCGCGATAAAGCAGAGAAGCAACAACAGAAAGAATGGAAGGTTGTGGAAGAGCGTATAGAGCATATAGGACCACTTCCCCGCTACATTTTTTGTAGTGAAATTGAGTACAGAGGTCGTGTGAAGGCGGTTGGAAAGGCGTTGACTTGTATCACACCATCCAATGCCGAGTTATACTTCGGAGTGAACAAAGAGGGTTCATGGGAAGGCCAAGATCCCTGCCACAAGCTTGTGAAAATCACTCGGTATTCCGCGCCGGGGGAACCTGAGTGTTACTGCAACGATCCGCTGGCGCCTGCTATAGGGGGAAAAATACGGGTTCGTGTTGGAGATGCTGTTGATGCCTCTGCTGTTCTGATGTCATTGTTGCTTCCATTTGATGAGATGGTGCCGAAAATCATGGAGAAATTTGCAGTTGCGGCATTTTTGCACGAGGAGTTCGT